AGAGGTTTTGAGTGCTGCAGAGAGCGTAACTGTACAGCACGGATGATTGGTAGTAGGCTTGGAGGAATATTGTGTTTGTTTGGATGTGTTTGTGATGCGTCACTGTCAGTGAGTACAAGTGAAGGCGCTTTGTGCACACACAAACAAAACACATACATGCACTCGTGCATTTAACTGCATGTATTCTTCCCCATATGGTTTTTATTGATCCCCATCGCTGTTATACCCCTTCTGCTCCCTCTGCTTCTCTCCGTCTCTGTCTGTGTGCACTGATGGTGAAGGAATGATGGAATGCTGGAGGGTAAATCTCTGGTTTCCTGGAAGCTGGTCTGGCTTTATCAGAAGCGGCTGTGACAATACTCGAACTGATGGGCCAACCCCAACGCCTTTCCTATAAGCACCGATCAGGCATGAAAAAGCCTTACTGGAAGAAATAATCAGCAGTCCAAGGGGCCTTTCCTGGAAGCTGGTTGTGACTTGCTAGTTGTAGAGTACAGTCCTAACCTTTTAATATTCTTTCCTCCTTCTATGTGTGTTGTGGCTGACGTTGGCAAGAGCGCAAAAATGACATAAAACACAAAAGGAGCTGCAGATAGCACACTTCAATTTTGATCAGGCTCCAGGAGTGAAAACTGGCTTACATTTTGAAAAGTATTCCTCTTATTGCTCAACTTGCTTCTCACTTCCTTATGCTGCATTAAAACACAGCATTAAAGTTATGAGATGCGGTGCCCGAAACGTTGGTGCGAGTGTTTTGATTGCTGGGTTGTTGGGGGGGGGGTTTCAAATGGAGCTCAGTTGTTTGAGACCCGGGTGTTGTGTTTGGCGGGGACACTGTTGACAACTGTTGAGCTGGACACAGCAAGTCATAACCCGAAAAAGATGAATCACGGTGGAAAGACTTTCTGTGAGTGTGTGAGATTCACGACGCACAGGCAAAATATTCCAGCGCCACTCACTAGGCAACTATGGGGAACATAAGATGAGTCACAGCGAGCTGAGCTGGCTTATTTAAACAATGTGTTGTGTGTAAAACTGGATTGTTCTGGTTGGATTTTGGGAAGAAGGCTCACTCATTTTCTGTTTGTCTCCTAACCTACGTCATCCTTCTCTCCAAGTGCCCACTCAGTTTTCCTCTCATAAACAAATAGTGTCATCTGCACTCGCGCACAGACGCACACCAGCGTCCAAACAGCAACCCTGGATGCGTTTTTTCCTGGAAGTGTCAAGGCAAAAAAAATGAGGAACCGAGTTTTTGAATCATTGTAATTACCTGTACTGAGGTGAGCTGTAAAAACAGTTATTAAACATTAGCCTGTGATTCCCACAGAGGTCTTAGGTTGGCTCGAGTCCAGAGAGATGTGTGTAGCACTGGCGGCTGGCCCAGTGAGGTAGACGAGGTTACTCCTTCTCTATTTTTTTAAGGGATATGAGGGAGATCAAAATATAACTGCTTAATCTCATCTTGAACATAGGAGAGAGGAGATAAGTAGAGAAAAAATAATGTTGGTTTTAACCTTTTGGACTTGACCAGAGTCGCTTTGCATGACTCATAGTTCAAAATAATCCTCGTTTATCTTACACTGGGCTGTGGTGCAGTTCCTTTAAGCCACCTTTCAAACAAAAGGTTTGAACAGGAGAGCCGAAAAGAGCCTGAAGCCTTCAATTTTAGCTCACAAAGTTTAAATGTAGAAACTTTGGCCATATTAAAATGAGTATCCACCATTTTTACAGCACATGTATGACATAAAAAAATATCAGGAAAATCTCCCAGGTCCTCCTTATCTGATTTTAATATTCTCTCAGCATCTTTTATTTCTTGTTTTAAGCAATTATTTCCTCTTCAGGACTCCCCTACCTCACACACTCCCTCCTTCTGAAACACACATTAACACCAGGCAAGAGCCGTAAAAACTCAACTCAATTAAAGTGCCTCTTTCCTGGAAGCCAGCCTCAGACAGAGCACAAGGTATGCAGGGAATGGGAACCATATCTATGTGTGTGTGTTCGGGGAAATGTGTGTGTGTGTGGGGGGGGGATAGAAATGAAGAAACTCACCTCCTGCTTAATTTTACCAACAGGCGCAATCTAGCTTGACCAACCACTTACACACACACTCTGCTTTGGCTGCGCACTAAAAAACAACAAAACTAAAACCACAGACCGTCATAAATCTCCTCCACGTGGACCCTTTCACCTATTTGACCTCAAACACACACACACACACACACACACACATATCCATACACACTCCCTGGAGGACACCATCCTCTTTCAGCCCCTCAGGCAGGATGTATAAAATCCCACTGCATTCCTTTCCAGTTAGGTCCAGCCCAAAGTGAGCTCTCCACACAGTGACTGCTGTGTCAGAGTGTGCATGCATGACGTTGACCTAAACCCTCTCCTTCTGGGAAACCCTTTGTTACTGTGCCATGTGCACATCAGCTGTGCCCTCCCTCCATCCTTTCCTTCCATCCTTCCCTATATGTTCTCCAATCCCTGTGGAATTTATCCACAATCCTCTGGCAAAGAAACGGAGAAGCGTGGATCGGAGCAATTTTAACCCGGCGATGAATGTGTGTCCTCCTCGTGCTGCTGCTGCACTTTTTCAAAGTGTGCCGACTGAATAAACACTGCTTTGTTTAACTAGGAAATCCCAATTGTAAGTAAATAGTCTTGCTGCGAGGCCAGGAATTGCTGGAATACAAACCATTTTACAATTTATTAGAGTAAGTTAAAAGTGTGTGCAGTCAATATTGAATTAGTGGAAGTTCAAAAGAAGAAAAACAAAACAAAACAGTAAATTAAGACACAAGGCAAATGCATTGACTTTTGTAAAAATAGTGCTTTTTAATATAAATTATTGAAATATTTTAGAAATATAAATATGTGCAACGTTCCTTTTCATTTATTTCTGTAATGCTTTGTCATTTCAGGTATTACAGCTTGTATTGCCAGACTAGTGGCCAGCCTGTTGCGAGAGAGTCTTTATAAAAGACAATATGATTCACATACACGTGGTCCACCGGTGCAACACATGTAAAAAAAAAAGAAAAAAAGAAAAAGAGTTGGTGTTGATGTGACCCAGATTTGACCAAAAAAAAGTGTGCCGCCCTCGCCTCGAGTGGCCATGTGAGCTCAAACAGACAAAAACATAAAAGGCTGCCACTCCAATATGGATCACAGGTACGGGTAAAACAGCAAAAGCACTTCCTTTTTTTTTCTTTTTTTGATCAAATCTAAGTTTTGAATTCTGGTTTACAAAAGGCTTCTTTTTTAAGAATCAGTTGAGGGAAAAGTGTAGTGTATCCTTAACATTCAGACAAGTCCAACTGTTCACTTCTCCTCCTCCAGAGGTTATGATGGAAAAGTAGACAAAAAAGTAAAAAATACAAATCCTTTCTGAAGTTACAGGAGAAGGCAGACAGATATTCAAACACACCGGGGTATTTTAACAAATAGAAATGAGCCGGAGATGATAATCTAAGACAGAAATAAGACTCAGCTAAAATCTTTTTTTTCCCTCACACGGGGCAGTTATATTTACAGGAGCGGCGTCCTGTTGTGCTCTATCATTTCCTCTTATCGGAGTTTTTGTTTAGCTGTATACCAGTATGTCTCCTCCCACCTTTCTCCCGCAAATATACCCCTCCTTTTCAGTTTCCTTCTCCCAATCCCACTCCTCCCTCTGCTTTAAAATCCTTGCCCTCTCCGCATCTTTGGGATCATCACCATTATCATCATTCCCCCAAGGAGCTTTACAGTGTCGCTGACATTTTTCCAGCCAGTCGGGATAAAAATAAGGTCTGCTGTTTTGTTTGGTCCCATGCCAGGTCTTTTGTCCCGGTAAAAAAAGCTTTTGTCTCGGCAAGAGCGGCCTGTTTTCTGTCACTGTCAAAGCATACATGCATCTCTGAAACAAAAAGGCAGGGGGAGGGGGGGCTGGGCAGTCAAATGGTTATGGATCAGGAACAAGGAACACATAGGAGAAGAAAATGCTTAGTAATTATTTTTTTAACCTCCCCCCATCCCCCAAAACTCCCATGCTAACAAAACCTTCATGTGGTCTATACCTGTGCGTGTGTTTGAGGGTGTGGGTGTGTGTTTGCATATGTGGAGCTAGAGTGCATGACCGTCCCACTCCCCCTCTATGAGGCAACACTTGCGGGAAGCAGCAATGGAAATGTGTGCACCACCACAACACAAACACACTCACACACACACTCACGCTCACACTCAGACAAACAAATCCTGTGCGTTCTCTGTACAGGGCCCCCCCCGTTTGGACTTTGCCTTTTCTCTGAAACCCCCACCCCCCACTCCATCCACTCTCTCTACCCACTGCCGTTTGTCTGTCCAGTTGTAAATGTCACGCAGACAGCAGCAGCTTTCTTTTGAAGCACATTAAACCCACCAAAATATCACTGGTGGTGCATTGATCATGCCTTCGCTGCCATCGTTAATATCGACCAGTCAGGTTAATCTTCTACGAGGCACTGCTCTGCGTCTCAGTCAGTCATAGGAAACGTTGACCTTTGACCTCAGGCTTCATCTGCCACTCCCTTGAGTGGTCAGTGTTTTTGTTTTTGTGTTTTTGCAAGGCAGGACGGACGAGGTAATCGTCGGTTACCCAAATCACACTCCTCATCCCCAGAAGGTCAGCGGGTGACCCAGAGTAGATCAGTGATCAGCTGATTCTGGAAAACTGACCTCATGTTAGCACTTAAGGCTCAGTCTGGTCAGTTTATGTCCACACAGACAATCTCGCATTCACCGAGAGCTGGTCCGTGCTGTAATCCTGGCACTTGGTCCATGCAGTAGAACCTGTCGCAGTTCCTGTCAGTCATATAGGAGCATCATACTCATCCAGGTAGTCTCTAAGTGTGTCCGGGAGCTGCTCAGTCCGCTCAGACGCCCCCAGGCCCTGATTGTTCAGCGTCCTCCTGCACATGTGCTGCAGGCTGGAGAGACAAGTCGAGAGGGGTCGACGCAATTCCAGGGGGATTTTCTCCCCACCGGTGTGGATCAGATAAACATTGTGTGCCTTTGTTTTTGTCTGTCCTGGATTGTCCCCACTCGCCCGTTCCTTGGTCCCTTCAGTATCTTGCCCCTTCCCCATGTAGTGCGCTATGAGTTTCAGCACACAGTCAAATTGCGGGAGCTCCTGGGTATTTTGGGGGTCTGGCTGTAGGAAGAAGCCTCCTCCCTCACTGTGGATTCGCAGATTCTTGGTTCCCTTAGTTGTCTGGACAGAGAGTGTGAAGAAGTGGTGGTGGTCTGAGGAGTCACGGACCAGGAAAGTGCCAGGGGGTTGAGAGCGTAGCAGGGAGCTGGCTTCCCGGCCTCCGACAGCTCCCCAGTAAAAGCCACTCTGCTGAAGCTTATGCAGTGCACGCATCACCTGAAACGGGTAAAAAAAAAAGCCATGGTGAATTTCCAAGAATGCCAAAGAAACCACACACACAAAACGTAATAGTTTAGCTAACTCCTCAGATGTGACTGACCTGCTGGTAGTGTTCATGCGAGCTGAAGGGCTTGAAATGATGCGGGGTAAAGTTCGACCCCTGAACCCTGCCCTCTGGAGAGGTGACGCTGCTCATGGCAAGGGGGTTGTGTCCTGCAAAGGTTACCATGGCCATGCCATGGCCCCCTGCCTCTCCCTGCTGATTGAGAGGCAGGGGGCCCAGAAAAGGAGCGCTGGATTGGACAGGTGGAAGAGAGTCGGCAGCAGAGCGAGAGGGGAGACGAGGGGGGGAGTGGGGTGAGGATGGCGGGGTCACACACCGGGTCCAGGGCCCCGGGGAAGAGGAGTCTGATGCATCCAGAGAGGGGCTGGTAGAGAGCACCTATACACAGCTGGAGGGAGACAGTGAGCAAAGATTAAGCACTTCCAGCTATATATAACCTAATCTTGGCATGCAAATATAGAGCCATAGAGCCTCATTTGAATTTCACTCCTGCATAGGCAGTGAGAAATAAATGGCCACTGTGCCACACTGGAGCTCTCAGTTTACCCCCATAAAAATGCAGTTATGGCGACTGTAACAAATGCATAAGGCAGGAGCGGGCAGCGAGCAGGCAGGTTATATTTAGTTTAAATGAATGCACTGCTTACTCGTGCTGCTGCACCGTGCAGCCAGACAGCAACTGGATCCTGATTGCTTTCAATTGTCTTCGATCGGGCGCACCGCAACAAGGGATTTCTGAATCGGGGTCACTGTGAAAGAGTCCAGCCAGCGCAATTTTTTTCTTTTATTAACCCCCTCCCTTTCTCTTTGCTAAATAGCTGTATTCCTGCTCGGAGGCCCCGTTCTCCGGTTTCACGATGACTGAAAAGGTGTCCCGTCTGGTTCTGGTTTCCCGAGATACCCTGCAGGCACTACGGGAATTGGAAGTCGGCTTCACCGGACAGTGCAGGCGCCATAGCGACTCAGAACTGCTACGGAGCCACTGGCGTTAAACTCGGTCCACTACTGATGATACTGCGAACCCCCCCGAGCATTAACATTTTTAGGACCGTCTTCAGCGAGAGCCCGAGCTGCTAAATAAAACCACAGCGCTTTAAAGTGCCCCATACCCCAGTTTTCTGTCATTTTGCCTACTTTAAGACGATGACCAGCGAACCGCTTTTAAATGTTTTAACTTACCTTGTGGATACACTCAGCCCAGCGCCGCAGCCGCTCGTCGCCAAAAGAAAAGATACGCAAACTACCCGAAAGTAGTGCTTGAAAAAATATTAACTCAGGCATTAAAATCCATAGAAAAGTATCCAAAAGAGCGTGTGGGTTTCCTTACCGAGCAGAGGAATGTGTCGGCAGCGGTATCTGCCGGAGAACTCCCCGTGTGTGTGTTGGGGGAGGAGGGGAGGGGAGGAGGTTTACTGGAGGTTGTTTCCAGTGAGTAAAGCCGATGTTCGTAAAGCTCCGCCCCCCTCCGTTCAGAGGTTCTTCCAGTAAACACACGAACGCACGCTCACGCACGCAAAAGAACACACGCGCGGGCTCGCGCCCGCTCTTGGCGAATCGCCAATAAATAATCAGCGTGACCTTTACCGGGCTGTTTCCTGGTACTGCTGCTGGATTCCCTTCTCGACAAGGTGAAAAAGTTAAAAGCTCCACATATGGCACAATATAAAACCGCAGCTATGGCTCATGTTTTAGAGACATACTCCACATATTCTCGCTATAATAACTAACCATAATATGCTTCTGCATGCACTGCAGGACCCTTCTTTTCTTCTGCATTCATCTAACACTCAGATCTGCCGTTAAAGCATTAAAAATACTCAGCTCTATGTAAAATAATGCATCCAAGTGTTGATATCTATGTAGAAATCAGCATTTCCCCCGAAAATATGGGTTATATATACGGGTTCACACCCGTAGAAGACATTTTGTTCTTTCTCCCTAAAGGAAAATCAGCAGGATTGTAATAAAAATCTTATTTACTTTTTTTCTTTTTATCAGGGTTCCTTTTACTGATGCAGAAGATTGCCAGGATTACCAGGAAAATGCACAGACTTCTGTTAAAGTCTTAAACAAAAAATATCTTAATGTATGCAAATATTATTCTTAGTTTTAATACATATCAGGTCTCAGTAATCCCAGATAGGTAGGAGAATTTTTTCTTTTATTTTTAAAAAAGCACCCCTAAATTTGTATCTCGGTGAAAAGTTGTCATAATGCTGTGAATTAAAGTACTCTTGAGTATCTATTCAATATTTAGTCTGCTGAGGTTGAGTAAAGACTCAAGTATTTTAAAACTTTACCACAGTGAATGTTACTCTACTATTTATTAAATTTGCTGTAGTTTGTTTGGACAAACACAGAATACAAAAGCACATGTGCACAAATTAAGAAAAAAAGCACTGGTAGAAGTTTTTTTAGGTGTTTCACTGAAATAATCAAGTAGCCTACTTTCAAGGTTTATGTCTATTTCCTTTTGCTGTTACAAATCTCTCTGCTGAGTTTCCATAAACAAAGCCTTACCTTAAGGTCAGATATTTTCAAGCTATTCAGCATCAACATGGGCTGTCATTGCATTCTCCCTTCTTTTTCTTAACAGCATGAAGGATAAATAGCGTCTGACCTACAACAAACTGGCTTATGTTTAAAGATAGGGGTCCCTCAGTCCGCTGTGTCGTGTCCGTGTCAGGAAACATCTGACTTACTGCAAATGCTCTTGAGCAACAGCCTACAGTGTTGCTTGAGCCATGCAAATGTAATGAAAGGTTGAAAGAGTGACTCGTTTTAAGTTAAGAGCCAAATCTGTAACTTTAGAGGAGAAAAGGGTTTAAATTTACTCTGAAAAATAGTGAGAATCAATTACAAATGCTATGATTACTGGTCTTTCTTGCTAATATTTTCATTAACAATCCAAGAACAAACATAGGCTGTAAGGCTATGAAAGATATCAACTCATATTTAAAGTGTTTTGAAATCAATAAAGCAGTAAAGTTAGATAGTAGTCCTGATTGTTCTCCATATCATTCTACTGAAACATACTGCTGCGAGTATTGTTGTTATAACACAGCAGTAATAAAGATTCTCACGTGCTATGAGCCTTCGAAATATAAACACATACACACACATTTATCAGTCGGCTGAAACAAACACTTGTATGCAATGCATAACGTGCATTGCATACAAGTGTTTGTTTCAGCCGATGCACGTTATGCATTGCATACAATGCACGTTATGCATTGCATGACTGAAAATCTTCAAGGCACACCTTTAACAGGTAACTGAACAGGAAGATGTCTTACCAAAAATATATCTTTAAGCTTTTCTGTGGTCACATATGTCTTTTTTAAAGAGTGCCTTGGTGGTTAATTTAACAATGGAGCATAAATAATTTGCAGGTCATTAAAAGACACTTAAAATCACCCCCAAAATCACAGAAAAACAGATCCCAAACCAGCGATATTTAATTTATTTAATTAAAAGTAAAGCACCTTACCTATTACAGTAGGGTCTTATTATTGTAAGGTCTTTACCTTTCAGTTTAAAGCGCCTTCAGGCAAATGTTGTTGTGCTTTGAAGCAATACAAATAAAACTGAATTGAACTGAATTGAAGTTGCTTGGCACGGTTTGAGCTGTCACTACAATCTTGTGTACTGCACAGTGTAGAAAGCGTCTGTGTCTGTGAACTGAGAGGCGTGTCTATAAAGTTTTTTCAAACTCGCAGTGCTGCAGCAATGGCGGCTCCCATGTCCTGGAGGAGGCTGGTGTACTCCGTGTACTCACCGGCCATAGCTGGGGTTTTTACCCGGATATCTGACCGGGTGTTCCGTGCACGGGACCGGCGAGGAGGGTAAGACACACGAGGACAAAAGTGCGCTTTTTCTGCCGCTGTAGTGTCACTTCTCTTAGCGCCTTTCTCACCTCTAGCATGCCTTGCTAGTGTAGCTCTTGCTAATGCACCCATGCACACGAATATTTTGACCCTCTGTTTTCACGAAGTCTTAAAATCCTTTATACGTGAACATGTCTGGCCACCAACCCCGACTTATTTCGAGTGAAAATAACGCGTTTACAGCAAATGATAACCATAGTTAGAGTCACATTTAGCGCATTAATATCCAGTAATGAACTTCACGAGACTCAGCAAACAGCAGCTAACCATATGGGGAAGTTTTCATAACTGACACGCAGTGCACCATGAGAACGAATTAGAAACCAGCTACGTTTTATTTGTTTTTTTATTTTGGAACTAGCAGTTGAACTTATGATGTAATAATAATAGTCTTTCGGCCTTAGGGGTTGCCACAGCGGATCATTTCTCTTCATCTCACCCTATCTTTAGCATCGACCTCCAGCCCAGCTTTGTCTCCCTGTCTTCACACTGCTCAATCCGAGCTGTCTGTTAGATATACTCATTTCTAATCTTGTCCATCATGGTCAGTGCCAGCTCGGCCTCTTGTCTTCTTCTTCTTTTTGGTCAGTGCCACCGTCTCCAAACCACACATCACAGCAGGTCTCACTACCACCTTCTAATCCTTCCCTTTCACTCGTACTGCTATCCTCCTCAAAAATCACCCCAGGCAATCGTCTCCACCTGCTGCACCTGTCTCATGCACTGACTGTTGACCAACTCATCCACCTTTACCACCTCTACTCCTTGTATCTTCACCTTTCCATCTGTCTCCAACTCTCGAGACACTCTGTCCTCCAGCTGTTCCCTGCTCTCCCTCCAGATCACAATATTTTGTGTGAACATAATAATAATAATAACAATAATACACTGTTATTAATATCTGACAGGTGATTCTCTCTCAGATGGATATAGTATATTATAGAAGGTTTATAACACGTGTTATAAGATTGGCTTCTGACATGTGGCTTGCCCATTATTTAGCAGCACACTTTAAAGCAGGGGTCTCCAATCCCAGTCCACGAGGGCCGGTGTCCCTGCAGGTTTTAGATGAGATTTTAAACCTGCAGGGACACAGGCCCTCGTGGACTGGGATTGGGGACCCCAGCTTTAAAGGCTCTCAGCTTTGTGATGAAGTAGAACTAGCTAGTTAGATTTGGGAGTAACAAGACACCCCACGATACGCTACAAACACGATAATTCACTAATGATACAATATTATTCTGATTTTAACTTTTTGCGATATGCTGAGTATATTGTAACTAACATATATTGTAATTTTCAACAGGAAATTATGTCCTCAAAATCCAGTAAGATAAAGTTATCTCGCTTCAGTTATTTTTGCTGTAAAATAAGCTTGTAAAGCATACGAACACTGTCACTAAAACCTGTCATAAATGTTGGCATGAGAGAGTCTGCTGTCAGTGAGCAATTGAATGGGGTCTACTTGGTAATTACATGCAGTCTGTTTTTGATAATAGAAAAATAGATGGTAGTTGTTTATAAACCTTCAATAATCTGTCAGAAAAACTGCAGTTAGTCTAAGTCACACTGCAACTGTTTGCAGACAGTTGCGTCCAATTGGGCGACCCGTGCAAGTGATCATGAGTGCACAACGTCCTCAAGCTCTGGGCAACCATTAGTCACCACAAGTTAGGGCTGTTCGATATAACGATATATATCAGATGACGATATAAAAACATCTATCGTTTCATTTTACGCTATCGCTTGTTTCGTGGTGTCGCAAAATAAACTGTTTACGGCAATATTTTTTCATCGTTCTGATGGTCACTGTAGTGGCTATATTAATTTCTTAAAGTTCTCTCTTTCTCTTATATGTAATATAACCACACTACTGACGGACAAGCGCCTGTTTTTATGCGTTGTTGTTAGCAACAACAACGGCAACACCTTCGCGTGTCCGCTTGTTTATGTTCCACATAAACCTTTCACAATAAAGCTCAAGATCCTGTTGAGACTTTTCAGAATAAACTGAATCACGTGAAAGAGCAGATTATTTACGGATGAGAAGTAAAAAAGAGCCGTCAGGTGCTAAAAAATAAACTTTAAACTCAAACGTTAGAACAGGCAACCCGCAGCACGCTGTGTAATAAATACAAAGAAAACGGTGGCTGTTACAACTTATGTCTAAAAATGTATAGTTTCATGCATCGGTTAAAACACTCGACTCCAGCTACATGACGCGCAGCTGGAAACACTTCACGCAAGTCGAGCTGCCCGATTCACAGAATTTACAGAAAATGTTA